CTGATGCCATTCCTGTCTAATGACAGAGCTTTTCTACAGTGTTTGGCACTGTAGGCAGCTATCCGGACTTTTGAATGCTCAAGACTCTTACTCTGTAGCCACACTTCTCGGGAGATGTGTGTGCTCTCGGTCAGCAGAGTGAGCTTTACCAGACTGTAGGCTATTCCTGTAAATGGTTCGGGTCCAATAAAGGTTTCCCTAGCACCAGCCTTTGCCAGTTCGTCTGCTGCCTCATTTCCCTCGACATCAGAGTGAGCCGGAACCCAGCGCAGGACCACTTTATTCCTTTCCCCGAGAGCATTCAGTATAGTCGCACAGTTCTCTACAATCCTCGATGTTTGGGTGACAGAGGTTAGTGCATGTAGAGCGGCTTGACTATCTGAGTTTATGTAAATGTACTGGTTAACGTAGGCTACGTTAACCAGTATATAACTCTTCAGGTTCAAATCCGCACAAGCAATTATGGCGTACATTTCGGCCTGAAAGATAGAAGAGTGTCGTCCCAAATTCAGTTTATAGTTGAGCCTGGGTCTCACGCCGTGTATACCACAGCCTACGTTGGGTCCCATCTTAGACCCATCGGTATACCAAAGAGGGCTACCGGCCTTCCAAGTAAGACTGTTGGTTTTCCAGTCTTCCCTAGTTGGAACTTCTACCTGGCAGAGTTTTTTCAAGTTTTGCTTAGGAAGCATGACATCAAAAGTCATTCCCAGAACAGAATTGAGTCCTGGGTTGATCTCAATGTCTGGGAGAGCCATCTGGTCCTTAACTTGGTGGTGAGCCTGTACATGCTGGTACCGGCCTCCTTCTGTACGAATATATGCAGGGGAGTCAGATTCAGCAATGCATTTAGGGCCGCCCTCGGAGTAGTGGACATGGCTCCCGTTACTAGCAAGCACGTACGACTTTAGCACTCCAAACAGCAGAGGCATATGTTACAGGCATGGGTTATGGGCATCACTATTGCCTTGTATAACCAGAGAGCCGCCATACGACTACAGATACCTAAGGCCATCTTGGCCTTGTTAACCGTGTTAGCTACATGGCAGTTCCACCTTAAGGTTTGATCTAGGGTTATCCCAAGATATTTAACTTCTGCGGAAAAACTCACAATCCTGTCACCAAGGATCGGTTCCACTAGTTTATCTAGTTTCCGCTTCTTAGTGAATGGGACTATGGTTCTCTTTTCCGCGTTAATAGATAATTCGTTATCTTGACACCACGCGGAAATGGTGTCAAGAGCTCCTTATATAAGTGATGATATGGTGCTTTGGCAGTGCCCTCGAACTGTGATCACTAGGTCATCCGCATATCTCTGAGCGTCAATATTCAGTTCGGCCAACCTACACAGGAGCTGATCCACAGCAAGTGTCCACAGGAGAGGAGAAATTATATGTCCCCACCTTGCGGAGACCGGCTTGTGTCGTGGAAGCCACAAGCCGGTCCCCGTGTAACGAGATAATGGCCCTGCGTCTTAAAAGCATGTTTTGCACCCATCGCGTAGTAGAAGAGTCTACACCTTTGCAGGTTAGTCCCTTCACCAAAGTACGAATGGGTGTATTGTCAAAAGCACCCTCAATGGCACACAGTGCTATTTGTTTGTCTTCAAACGCACTTTCAACTCTATCCACAAGGTGGAGCAGGGCTGTCTCTGTGGCTTTCCCACTTTGATAGGCGTGTTGAGTGTGATGGATAGGACTACGTATTAGGGACGAAGCCCTAATGTGATTATCAAGTACAAATTTGGGAAGGTATACTGGTCATTTTATAAACTTTTCAAACAAATAAAACGGGAAATGCCAATTTGTTGTAAAGGACAATAAGTGTCATAAGTAAACCGCTCATCCTTGGCGAAACCCATCTTGGTAGGAGCGAGCTTGAAATGCAGTTTCTGGGTTGATGGATTGCGGCGACGGAGAAATTAATATCACCACAGATTACACTTACCCATATCCTTGTAAGTTGCATCTTAAGACCCATAGCAATTATGGCACATACTTTAAATATTCAACTAAATAAAAACTGTAGTTGAAAATAGCGATTGATAATTTTACGTGAATGTTAAAAATAACTCTAAATACAATGAATGAGTTTTCTTAGGTGTATTTTAGCGGTATTTTCTTTTTCTTGGAACATAAATTATTTCAGCCGCCAAGCAGTAATGTGAGCATTGCTGCGTTTCGGTTTCGAAGGGTAATGGTACTGTGAAATTACAGGCACATGGGACTTGCAACTTATGTCTTAGGGTGACGAGCAAATAGGGTGGGTAGCAGTACTTACCCGGACGAACTCTTTCACAAGGAGCTCTACCGCTACTAAAATCGAATCCGAATATCGAAGAATGTTCACAACCCTTGAATTACGGATCTTATATAAATTTACAGAAAACGCAAAAGACTACTTCAGAAATATGATCATTAACACATTGCTTTGCAACCGTATTCTTTGTTCAACTGTTCGTGGCACTCTCCACCCGGAATTGGCCGGTGGATTCGACTAAACATACAGTATAAAGAATAAGTGTGCATATCTCTTCACGGTCGCCACTATATAACGGCTGAATGATGTCTGATCACGGTCGCCAGTATATTACGAATCCTATGTAAATTTATATAAAACGCTAAAGAATACTTCAGGAAGATGGTCATTTATTAACACGTTGCTATGCAACCGTGTTCTTTGTTTAACTGTTCGTGACACCTTGGAAATAACGTAGCGTTTCCCATCCACATTAAGCCAGAATGGCGGACTATGACCTAAATACTCTTCATAGAGGAAACCCACGCCCAGCAGTGGGTCCTATGGATGGCATTATAGAATAGCGGCTTATATCAACAGATTATCTTCGGATGATAGTTTAAAAACAACTGTAGCATTTCTAAAATGTAAAGCCGGCGAATCGTATATCGGTCCATGATAATTTTAACTTGTACTTTGATGATGATTTCTTTGAGTGGATCTTTTGTCTATTGCTTGCTTTATCACTATTATTACATCAATCGTGTAGTTTTGTACAACAAATACATTTTAAACAACCTACACGACAAATTTTACCATAGCTCCTAATATGTATGTTCTTCCTTAAACAATTATGGATGTTATTCAATTTTGACAAAAATGAAGTGCTTAACAAGATATACAGAATGTGTTATAGAGAGGACAATATGGCCTAATCGTGTAATATAAAGAAACCATACATTTAAAATCACATTACTTTACGAAGCAATTATCGCGAACGAGAGTTTCTCACTAAAAGCAAGTTAATATCGATTTGTGACTAGACACAAATAGACTACCTAAATAGGAGGGCCTGACATGTGTATCTGTTTGTGATAATACTTGTATATATTTGGTGTACAATACAAATGTTGCTTGTTATGTCATATTGCGTCGTTCAAATATCGATAACATATAGTTTAATTTGTACCTATAGGGAGTTAATCGATTGACTAAAACACCGTGAGCCATGAAGATTGTGGCTATTCGTGACAGATTACTTGTAGGACTATTAAGTAAGATACATAAGTTATCTATCGAGTTGTTAGGTTTTTCCGATTGTTACCATAGAAAACGAAACTTCTTTTTTGGATCTACGTCGCGTATATTTGTTTTTCAAACAAACCAAACAGCTGTGACCATGGGACTTGTAAAAGGCCCGAAACGTTGGTTTATTTGAAAAAAATATACGCGATTTAAACTCGAAACAAACAGTTTCATTACATAAGCTATCGTCTGTAAAATATTCGCACATGATTTTCACGTCAAAGTGATAGCTTTCATAAAACTTATTTAAATTTTGCCTCCGTTATACAAGGAGCTGCCACTTTGGCATCCAGTTTTATCTGGTTTAAAGTTTCACGACAATTTTCGCGGCTCTGTAGCCGTACATATTGTACTGGAGTAGTCCTTTGCTCCGTCGAAGTTTGGAATTAAAAAGTTAGGGATTGTTGGACGGCAAAATGAATCTATTTAGTAGAGGACAAAGTTGTGATACGGCACACGGTGCTCCATCCCTGAGAGAAACTTCCCTCGTCCTGTGTTACAATAAAATACTGAAAATGTCCCTGAGGAATTAGCTCACCTCGTTTTACGCTTTTGGACAGCCACTTATACATAACTTCGACCCTCAGCGGGTTCTGATTTTTATTTATTGTGGGCTTCCTTTTAACAATACATTTTAAAATAGTTAGTACATCGCTACTTTTCCAGAATATACTCGAAACCAAGACGTTAATTTTTTAACTTCTATGTTCAGAATTTCTAATAAATATATATATAGACTTCTTATAATTTATGGACCCAGAGCGTTCTGTTGTTTAAAATAATCATATGACGGATATTATGTGTATATTGTTCTTCGGCTTTAGGCTCCACATACGTCTTAATTTTTTAACCAACTTCAAACAAAAGGAGGAGGTTCTCAATTCGACTGTATTTTTTTGGTATGTATGTTTCGCGATTGCTCCTGCATTTGTGAACAAATTTTGACGATTCTTTTTTTTTGTTGGAAAGTGGGAAAGAAAATATTCCACCTCTAACGGTGGCAAACTAGGGAATGATTCAATAAAACTTGGCAAATATATATAATTCCACGAACTTTTGAGGTTGGTTTTTTTTATGATTATATAAGATAAACAGCATTGCTAGAAAGTTATCGCTATTCTCCTAAGTATTGCAAGATGAAAATGACTTATCTGTGTTACGGGAATGAAATAGTGATTTTGACGTCAGAAAGTGATGTAATGTGCTGCTGTTCAACTACGCCGACGGAACGACGCTGGACTCGCGTGTCTCCCCTATTGTTAATTCGGTTTACTTCGGGTTAGATTTCACTCCTTGTGCTGAAATAATGGAAGTGGTCATATTTATACTCGTAGTTTTAGTTCTCCTATAAATAAATCGTTCGGAATTATTAGAACATTGGATTGATATTGGGTTCACGTGCGAAGGGGCGAGGCTGCGCGCGCATTTTAAGTCTCCGTAGAACCCCTACGATCGCTTCAGTCGCCGTCGAGCTACGCGCTACGGGTAGCGCTACGCCGCCGTAGCTCTGACTCTTCAACACCGACAAAGTGTAGTGACATTGTGATCTCAAAGTAATTCATTTCGGATACAGATAAAAAGGTACTCGCTCTTAGTGATTCCTCGTAATGTATTTGTTAAATGTAATTATACTTTTATTAAAACTTTATAAGGTTTAATGTTCTTCAATGAGTCATTATTCACACTTCAGCAGCTTATGTAATTGGATAGATACATTTGTGTCAAACGTCTTAATTTTAAACGTTAAACGTGTAACTATATAAGGAAAGAAGTGAACGTAGAGTGCGTAATGCATCGTCGGAGACTACTTAAGCGAAATTAATTTGGGCTCCACTCAACTAAACCGTGCAATAGTCCTTTCAAATGTGATTGAACGCCAACCCCTTACAATTGTTAAGTTAAAGGATAACATTTTTCGTGATAAAAATTAACTTTGTATTTGCCTAAGCAATGAGAATGTTATTATTCAATCACGTATTTATAATTTACAGAATTTGGGCACATTTCTTGAGTGAACTTTTGAAATAAATAATAATAATAATAATATGTCAGATAACCACAATAAATTGCCTGGTCTCAAGCTAAGGAATTCCCTTAAGGAATTTAAAATAGTTAATTTCTCAAATTGGTCCTATCGGGAATCGAAGCCGGGTTCGTCCTTCGAACCTTCTCGTCCAGCGTCCACCGTGAAAACCGTTGGGCCGGCGAACTAGTTCAAAAGTAAACGTATAACGACATGTCTCTGTTTACCTTAAATACATCAAAATTGAACTCTATGTAAATTACGATAAGATGGTTCAAACTGCAAAGAGAGGATTTGTCTATGTTGAATACGATTCACGATTATTGCCTATTGATCAGGCGTGCAACAGTAAATATCATTAAATGACGATCGTTCGTTAATAATCTCAATGTATGTTACAACGTAAGTGATCGCTATTTACTTATTTATAAACGAAATTAAATGACGGCCATACATCGACATATATAAATAACATAACACGTTGTGATAAAGTTTTTAAGTTATTGAATGTCACGATGTTTGAACACCACGATATTCATTAGTTTTTGTTATAATTTTTAACTACTTTGCTATGCACTACTTTGTTATAATTATTAATTAATACAAAGGTTAGAAACAATTCCTTCGAATCGGCTGGATTGGAACCAACGTCTTCCAGCAAATCATGTCAGGGAGTCTACTCCCGTTCTCTGTCCGACATCCGTCCTAAACAATGACTGTTAAAAAGTAGTACGCGACCATTTTTTTTTTTAAATAAGTGCCCATTTGACTTCCATCTCACCTGATGGAAAGTGACGATGAGGTCGAGGATGTAGCATGCACACCTAAGTAATGCTTATTCACTCTCGCCTTCAAAAGGTCCAAGTTATAGCGTTCGGGGAACGAGTGTGCAGGCAGGGAACTCCACTCTCTAGCCGTTCGCCATACAAATGTAGAAGCGAAACGCTTCGTGCGAATCCGGGGAATATCCACAACATAGGGGTGGAACTTCTGCCCACGTCTAGTCTCCCGATGGTGGAACGGGGAAGGCGGAATCAAATTATGTAATTCCATCGCACACTCCGTGATATATCCTGTAGATAACCGATAAGCTGGCAACTCTACAGCGGTGTTCAAGGCTCTGCAGCTTCGCCTCTACTAACTCCGAGTCACCTACAAGCCTCTTAGCACGCTTGTCTATTGAATCCAAGGTGGCCAGTTGGAATTTAGCAAAGCCATCCCGTAAGTGGCAGCAGTACTCCATACACGAACGGACTTGTGCTTGGTACAGCTGAAGCAACTGTCCCGGTGTATAGTAACGCCTCACCTTGGAATAAAAGACAGTGTCAATATGAAGCTTCATTCGCATCATGCGTCTTTTAATTAGGTCGTGTATTACTTATTTGACAGTAATTGTTTCGGACGGATGTCGGATGGGGAAGGAGAGTAGACCCCCAGACGCTATGCTAACTAAGCCTTTAAAACTAGCGGACTTTACGAATTTTGCTATGTGCTTGTTGCAGATTTTTGTTTTTGGTTTTCTATATGGTCTCGGACCTGGGTGTTTGTGTTGTGGTACCGTCGTTGTTTCAGATTTCCATAACACTAGTGCTTTAGTTACTTACAACGTAATAAGTCGATACGTTGGCAATGAAACTAGTTTTCGGTTATTAATCGCGTAGATTTGTTTTTCTCAAACGAACCCATTAGTCATCTTGACCATTGATTTTGGCTCCAAGTCTGGCCAGTAATGAATGGCGCCTCGGAACGACCAGTTTGAGCCAGACCGTGTATACGGCACGCGGCGGGCGCGCACTTATACAAGCCGCGCTGCTACGTTTGTATGGAGGTACCATACTTGTCTTATTATATTATTTTGTGGCCTATCTTAAAATCATGCAATTTATATGAAGATGGTTTAAAAAACCAGGCGTATCTGCCACGCAAAGTTGACGAATTTTAATTTTGTCAGGTGATTATTTTCATAAATGGAAAGAAAGCTCCGCTCGCAATAACATTGAGTAAATTTCAGGTAAGTTTTCTCTACCTAATTTCAGCGGCAATTTTTATTATTTAAGTATTTTAGAATATTATCAAGGAATATTATTTAATATTCGTTTAATATTTCACGATAATATACCCGAATATTTAGATAACAAAAGATTGCCACCGAAATTAGGTAGAGAAAACTAACCTGGAAATGTATTTAGAACGTTATGAATACTGTCTGTGTAATAAGTAAGAAATTTTTGGTTTGAACCACTGTTCTTGAAAAGCAACAAAATGTTAAATGTCTTTGTTAGATATATTATAATATTATATATATAGATGTTGATGTCTGTCTCTTTCATCATCAATATGAAGAAGACAGAAGACTTTATTTTAATTGATAGCTGGCGAATTAGTCGAAGCCTATATATAGACTACTTTGTAAACCTAGACGGTATGTAGTCGAATCACGATTGAATTTATAAGAAGCTGCCTAATTTCAGAGCGTCCTTTATAAAACTGCTGCCCTTTTCTTGCCCTTTTCTTACGGATGACTATAGAGAGAAAAGCACTGAACCTATGTTTATTATGGTCCACTAGAATCGACGTCAGAATATTGCCCAGATTAGCGCATAAGGTTGTGATCTTTTAACACGGCGTTTCCATAATTAAAAATATACTGTTCTAGACGGTTGTTTTACCACTTACCTGCTTTTAATCTAGGACGTTCTTTTTTCTATGACCTAGAGCCCCCAGATTAGATACCTACAAATTTAGAAAATATTCGTTTCTCAAATTGGTTCCATCGGGAATCGAACCCGACACCTCCCATTCACAGCGTTTACCGCTGAGCCACCGAGGAATTAAAATAAAACAAACTGCATTTCGATATCTTCATTCAAATCTACATCGCCAAATAAATTTTTGGACCTATTCCGTAGTTATTTTGTTTTTTGTTTCTTCATTTTATTTTTCACAAAATTCGTTTTTTTGTTTTTTTTTTTCATAAAATTAGAGGAGCATAATATTAGTAAATATATGTAACTGCTTGTAAAAATAACAGAAAACGACCAAAGAATAAAGTTGGCACAGTATTCATTGGAGGTATCGATTTGTTGTATGACCTTAGAAAATACGGACAAAAATTTTTCTTTTTTCCATACAAACCTACTACTAGAAATAAAAAAAGTAATTCATTTTCAGAAATTTAATTTATTGTAGTAATTCTTTTATTTAGCGACTCATCACGAAGTTTGTCTGGACAAATTGTCGGATCTTAAAGCCAGGGTTCACATCTTGAAACATATACCTAAGGGCGCGAGGAGCCTGGCCGCGGAAAAATTGTGCTCCATAATAGACAATTGCTTGCGTACCAACAGTGTTGAGGATTGGTTTTCTTTGTTATCGTTTTCCTTTTCTGCTCTTAGGGTTCCTGAAAGCAGTGCTAAGAAGTCATTGACTTCTAAGGTGAAGGATAATGTGGTCAGTACAGCATTATACTTTCCCGAAAGCACCACTCGTAAACCGAGGTCTTTATACAAGAGCATAGAAAACAAGGTTCACGATGGCGATTTGAGGGGTGCAGTCCGCCTACTTTTGTCGGACTCGTCATTAGCGCCTTCGAACGAGGGGACTCTTGGATCTTTGCGGGACAAGCATCCGATTCCTTCTAGGCCGCTAGTGTTTCCTCCGGGACCAGTGATTGCGAGTCACCCTGTATCGATGACGCCTGTCGAAGTGAGGGATGCTATTAGTTCATTTTATAACGGGTCCGCATCTGGTTTGGATGGCTTGCGCCCGCAGCATCTCAAGGAGTTGACATCTTCCTCGGCCGGTAGCAATGGTTCTCGACTGCTGGATTCCATAACGAATTTATGTAATTTCTTGTTAAAGGGATCACTTAACCCCGTAATATGCCCTTACTTGTACGGAGCTTCTCTTTGTGCTCTTTCAAAGAAGGATGGAGGCATTAGGCCGATAGCTATAGGCTGCACAATACGTCGTCTAACTGCCAAACTGTGCTGCCGAATGGTTAAGGATTCAATGGCAAGCTATCTCCAACCAACTCAGATAGGCTTCGGTACTGCCCAAGGTTGTGAGGCGGCTATACACGCTACTCGAGCTTTTGCTCTTGCAAATGAGGATAAGCACGCCATAATACTCAAAATAGACATCAGGAATGCCTTTAATAGTGTCGAGAGGGACACTATTCTTGGGGAGGTTCTGGAGCAGGTACCATCCATTTATCCGTTTCTTCATCAGTGTTACTCCACAGCCAGCAAGTTATTCTTTGACAATGAGTGTGTAAGCTCGCAAGTCGGGGCTCAGCAGGGCGATCCTTTGGGGCCTTTAATATTTTGTCTAGCTATACAGAAAGTTATTTCTTCTTTGGATTCACCCCTAAACGTATGGTATTTGGATGATGGAACGATTGGTGGGAACCCGCAAGTGGTGCTAAATGATTTAAAAAACCTTGTGCCCGTTTTGAGGGCGATAGGTTTGGAGATAAACCCAAGCAAATGTGAGCTTTATTGTTGTGGTCCTGTGGAATCGGGCTTTTTGTCGGACATGGAATTATTGGTGCCAGGTG